TGAAAGCTAAAAATCTAGGGACTATATTCCTGTCGCAATAATACTATCACTTGACAAATAATTGTGAAAAGTCGGAAATAAAGTTTATCGCCCAAGAAGACACAACGAATTTCACCATTCATTACCGAGAAACTGCCGAGAATTGCCGAATTATAGGTTGCTGATTCTAACTGATTGTAAATCCACATCCGTCGTGTGTCAGACAGCATGAATTCGAAAAAGCGATAAATTTAACAATAAAGGATAACAAAATCAAATAAAAACAGAAATTACTTGTGGGGGTTGTCATGCATGGTTATATTCATTCGGCAATTCTCGACAGTTTCCGTAAAGGTTAATTTAACTTTGACGTTCACCACTAGTCTGTCATCAGAATACTGCCATTGTTTTAGAACCATTGAGTGATAATTCTGCCACTTACCTATTAACTCAATACAATTGTAAAATATAGAAATATAAGGTTAATTCTAGATTGTTTCCATGGATTAAATAAAAAATGCATTGTATTATACGCACGCATTCTCATGTGGACGTATACTGTCGACGCCCCTGTCCGTCTGTCCATCGGTGCATATACACTGATGCACTCGAAGTTTCATCAAACGCGGATAAAATAAGTTAGTTTGTCTACAATTCAAATTTGACGCCATTTAACTCAAGGGCAACAATTCAAAAACTTCTATAGTGTCCTCAAGAAATGTGGTCGTACAGACAGACGAACAAGGATGGTGGCGTTATATGCCAACATTAACATATGGGGATACAAAAAATAAATATGTATATTTTGTGGCGCTGGCTCGGCTCCTTCACTTGGTATTTCCTAGAAACGCCACCGTTTTATATATACTAAGCGGAAACGCTGAAAAAAAACTGTCTATTTATTAAGACTGCTTAAGATTATTTGAAATCCCCTCCCAAGTGATTTAAAGTAGAACAACAATTCTTTACAATGAGACTCAAACTTTCTTAGATTTTATTCTAATTCCCCTAAGTTTTGTCTTCGTTTGTAAATTGACATCATGATCAAGGCCATTGATCGTCGTATAGTATCTGATATGTGAACTACATCCTGATTCCTTACAGCCGAGGGTGGCCCTAATTAGAAATAGATTTAGAATAATTAGTAAATTGAATAATAAATAATTGTTGAGAGAAAAATGAGTGATGGTTTTAATCAGGTTATTCAATTC